GGATACATATATATATATATATATATATATATATATATATATATATATATATATATATATCTTCATTTGCCAAAATATAATATAAAAATAGATATAAAACAGGTAATTAGGTACAAAATATTATGTCAAATTTTCATTTCTTTAGTCCAAATTTGTGTAAGACTAAACAACCTATTATATTATAATAGGGCTATTATAGAAAACAAACGTTAAAGCAAATTTGAATCCGAAGAGGGCGAAAACTCTCAAATTAATTGTTCTGTCAAAAATAGGAAATTCGCACAAGTTAATATTTGCAAAACTGGATCCCTTTTGCTCAAAATGGCATCCACTTTTATTGATTGGTTTTGGTTTATTAACTGTAATTCTGTGGTAAGTAGAGTTCCTATATAGTTGTAGGAACAGTGCTGAGTAGTGCTGAGGAAGCAGGAGCGCTTTCACACCAAGCCGAAATATTTTATTAGATGCTGTATTTAATGTTAAATTCGAATGCTAAGTTCCCCTTTCTTTTAATTCAAAAACAACAAACACAAAATCAGCACAAAGTAAACTGAATATGCTTCAAAGTGTACAAACCCCCGTAAATACTGTGTAACTTTAAAATTAATCATTCATAATTATATTTATTAAGCGGTCAGTTTTTCACGATTGTAATTGTAATACTTAATTTAAAAAAAATGAGTCCATATGCATATAGACAAATAAGATAGAATAAAACGACCTTGATAATAATAATAATAATAATAATATAATAATAATAATAATAATAATAATAATAATAATAATAATAATAATAATAATAATAATAATAATAATAATAATAATAATAATAAATAATAAATAATAATGTAAGAACAATGTCTCTATGCGCTTTTATAGCCGGAGTGAGATAAATGATTAACGATTCACCAAATAAAATTAAAAATAAATGAATAATAATAATAATAATAATAATAATAATAATAATAATAATAATAATAATAATAATAATAATAATAATAATAATAATAATAATAATATCCGGAATTTATAAGGCGCCAATTCCAAAAAAGATCAAAGGCGCACTAAAAGTTCAAATACGCACCGTATATAAATATTATACACTTGATTTATTTTAAGTTTTCATTTATTTGAAAAATACAGTTATTCTTTAGTTTCTTTGATCTATGTAATTAATTAGTGATTTTTATATTTCATTTCTTGTCCTTGGTATCTTACTTACCTTTCTTCCCACGCCTTTCCCACCTCCCCATGTTTTTACCTTTTCTTCTCAAGACCAAGCTCATACACAATTCAGCACGGCGCTGGGAATTCCACTATTTGACTGCAATCAACAGGGAGAGCAGCATAAAGAACCAAGCAGCAGCGCGACCTTAACAAGACCGCGCCCAACGCAATAATTCAGCAGTGACGCTGCGAGCGTGGAGGAATCCTGTGAGTTTTGTGGTTAGGGGTTGGTTATTCTCGTACATTTTCTTTACACTACAATTAAATAATACATTCATTATAAATGAATCTAATTTATTTTCAAATCCTCATTCTTAAAAGTGAAATTCTATATTTTGGACATTTTGCATGAAATCTGTCAACCACGCTGTCATGGTCGAGTTTGCTTCACCTATCACGATGTACTATTCCAACCATCATGAGGCTATCTAAATGAGCATTTGTCATAACAGAACGCAAATTATTTTTAATTAGTCTCATTAAATTATTATTATTATTATTATTATTATTATTATTATTATTATTATTATTATTGTTATTGTTGTTGTTGTTGTGATGAAAAGTTAACACAAACAATATGGTGGCTAAACGAATATTACATGTAAATATTTAGAGACCTCGTTTACTTGCGCTATATAAATCCATATATTATCATTATTCTGTCTCTTATACACATCTAGATGTGTATAAGAGACAGGGGCTATGCTTCCCCGATGCCATGCTTCCCCGATGCCCTCCTCCCCCTTCCCTCGCGTAATCTCCTGACGCAAATCCAGTTATTGTCTATTATTCCATCACGACAATAACAATTACTATCAACTCTGCAGTACCCGCTGCTTACTTGGACTCGAATTCAACCCTGGCCATCAGGCGCAAGCCCGGTGGTCTAGAGGTATGATGCCAGGCTAGTGATCTGGAGATCGTGGGTTCGAGTCCCACCCGAGAACAACTTGCGATTTTTTCGCAGTTGTTTTCAAATGTACTGAGTATTCGGTACATTTCCACGT